TGGATGGTGCAGATAACATTTCCACCATCACAGAGAGTTCCTTTGGACAGCGCTGACCTTTTAAAACATACAAAACAATATTACATATTGTGCCTGGATAAGGAATGTATAGTAAAAGTACAATGGAGATCATGCAAATGTCGAACAAATTCAGACAGTGGTATGCCTGGGAAGGTGAGTGTTAGGATCAGAGAAGGGACACTAGGGGCTTCCATGTTTTATCTCCGAAGCCAGGTGGTGGCTAGATGAGTGCTCATTATATTATCATCTATACTTTCCTATGCTTTAAGCATTTCATAATAAATACATTTTTAAAGAAGATGGACTGGGACTTCCCTGGTGGCACAGTGGTTAAGAATCTGCCTGCCAATGCAGGGGACATGGGTTCCTGGTCCTGGAAGAACCCACATGCCACGGACCAACTAAGCCCGTGCACCACAACTACTGAGCCTGTGCTCTAGAGCCCGCGTGCTGCAACTACTGAAGCTCGCGTGCCTAAGAGCCCATGCTCCGAAATAAAAGAAGCCACCGCAATGAGAAGCCCACACACCGCAACGAAGAGTAGCCACTGCTTGCCACAACTAGAGAAAGCCCGAGTGCAGCAACGAAGACCCAATGCAGCCAAAAAAAAAGAAAAAAGAAGATTGGAATGGACCTGAAGGACAATGTGATGAAGACTGCATACAGGCCAGGCAGGAGACAAAAATGGCTTGAATTTTTTGCCTGGAAAATGGCAGGAGGAAGGGGGTGGTGCTGCCTGCGGGGATATCTGACCTTCCTCATTCTGGTATCCACACCGTCCCACGTGTACCATTCAGCCACTCCCTTGTTGCCATCACCATCCTCCATCCTCATAGACACTCTTCTCTGGTCCTCGTCGCCCTGGTTACCTGGCCTCCAGACAGCTGTGACGGGGGCAGGCACAAACACCTGTAGAGGCTGGCCCCCTGCTGGTCACACACACACCTCCAGGTGGCCCTCCTGCTGGCCCAGACTTAGCTCCCACAATTCTGACCACAGGCTCCTTCACCCCAGCTCCAAAACCAAGCCGGCCCACACTCCTACAGAGGGCCATTCATGTCCCATTAGTGTCCCAGCAAGGCCTGGGACAGCTGTGCTCTGTCAGGAATTTGCACCAGGAAGCCAGTGGCCCAGGGGAGGTCTGGGCCAGGCGCCCAGACCTGCTGAGGCCAAGAGTCTCCGGGATGCAGGCTTTGGGCCTTAGCTGAGCTTGGTATTTCAGGGGAGAGAGGGAGACTCCGACCCCAGTGGGCTGGGCGCCGGGACCTGGTCATGATTCGGAGCTGGCTGGGTCAGCTAGGCTCTCCTCTTTGGAGCCACTTGTTGTGGCCCCCACTCTGGTGGGGATGCTGTCTCCTCAGAGCCCCTAGTCCCTATTCCCAAAGCAAGAAACCCTAGACCAGGAAATTAGTTAGCAGATCCCATTCTGCCCCTGTTGAGGCACCTGGGGACCTCCTGCCTCTTTCCACTGATTCAAAACAGCTACCATTTATCAAGTGCTACGTATTTGACATTGATTTTATTGAATCATCCTTGCAAGTCTCTGAGGAAGGTGGTATTATCCCATTTTACATATGAACAAAGTGAGGGTTGAGGGGGTAAATGATTTGCCCAGCTAATGTATGACAGTCATGCTTAGAATGTGGATGTGTCTGACCTGTTTTCACCTCTGAACTCTCTTGACCCCCTTTTCCTCTCCCTTCCTCTGGCACTCACCCTGCCTCCCTGCCCTTCAGTCTGTCTCTTCCTCCCCAGCCTTTCTCTGAACCTCTGTGTGACTCCCTCCTCTGCTCCTTTCTCTTTGCCCCATTTCCCATCTCCCCTACTCCCTCTCCTTCCCTGACCCAGAAACACAAAGATAATTCACTATACAGTGAATTGTGTACCATCAAGTGGCTGGGACTGCAAAAGCCAGGCTTCCAGGGTTTGGATTCAGTGCCGGTGACCTTTCGTTTCCATGAGAACACGGAATGTGGCATCCAGCAATCTGACCTGAGCCTGACGTGTAAATTCTAATAAAAGAGCAAGCTGAGCTACAATGGTGAGAATAGGAACTAAGAAAATAATATCCACGATATAAGAAAAAGCCTTGCGCCCAAAGGCAAATGATTCACCTGATGTCTAACTTTGAGAACGGGGTAAGTTACACCACAGCTACTCTGTGGAATATTTTGCGAACATTGCAAAGTGGTAGTTAGAAAGGTATGAGCAAGTTGGAGAAAAAAAAAAGTCACAACCCAACATTGTACATGTGCTATTCCTTCATTAAGGAAAGAAAAAGGAAACATACTAGGACCGTGCTTCTCAAATTGTCAGTGGTAAAGGATGAGTTTGTGTTTTTAAAATTTCCAGTCCATTACAAACCAACAGTTTTGTAAAATACCATAAAAATAAACGACAAACATGTATGCGTCAAAGGACGAGCATCTAAAATTGTAGGTTTTTTTTTTTGCGGTACGCGGGCCTCTCACTGTTGTGCTCTCTCCTGTTGCGGAGCACAGGCTCCGGACGTGCAGGCTCAGCAGCCATGGCTCACGGGCCTAGCCGCTCCGCGGCATGTGGGATCTTCCCGGATCGGGGCACGAACCCGGGTCCCCTGCATCGGCAGGCAGACTCCCAGCCACTGCGCCACCAGGGAAGCCCTAAAATTATACTTTTTTAAAAACTTGCAAAACTAAACAGTCAAAAAACACACAAAACAATCCAATTCGAAATGAACAAAAGACATGAACAGACACTTCACCAAAGAGGATGGCAAATAAGCACATGAAAAGATGTTCACTATCAAATGATCCACTAGGATATGCAGAGTAAAACCACAATGAGATCTCACTGCACGCCGATTAAAATGACCACATCAGTTTCCTAGGGCTGCATAACAAACTACCACAAACTGGGCAGCTTAAAACAACATAAAACATTAAAAAATTATTATTATTATTAGAAAAGCAAAATGAAAACTAGATATACAAGATGCAAGCTGGGGACTTCCCTGGTGGCACAGTGGTTAAGAATCCGCCTGCCAGTGCAGGAGACACAGGTTCGAGCCCTGGTCCGGGAAGATCCCACATGCCGCGGAGCAACTAAGCCCGTGTGCCACAACTACTGAGCCCACGCTCTAGGGCCCGCAAGCCACAACTCCTGAGCCTGCGTGCCGCAACTACTGAGGTCTGCGCGCCTAGAGTCCCTGCTCTGCAACAAAAGAAGCCACCGCAATGAGAAGCCCGCGCACCGCGAGAAAGAGTAGCCCCCACTCACCGCAACTAGAGAAAGACTGTGCGCAGCAATGAAGACCCAACACAGCCATTAATTAATTAATTAATTTAAAAAAAAAGATGCAAGCCTCAATTTTTGAATAAGATGTTCAGCAGACATAAAACAACTATGTCAAATTGCCGTTAAGAGTTCCTCAATGCCCACTCTTGTTTTCTGCACCTGTTGTGCTGAGAAGCAGTAGTGAACATCTGGCAGAATGGCACTGGGCTGTTGACCACACTTTGAGTAGCACCTGCTCAAAGACGAGAAGCAAATACTAGAGGTGGGATTTTTTTTTCCCCTCTTTGGCTTAATTTTTTGTTGTGGAATTATATTGCTATTCAAAATGAAACAATTTAAGGAATTCCCTGGCAGTCCAGTGGTTAGGACTCCACTTTCACTGCGGGGGCCCAGGTTCAATCCCTGGTCACGGAACTAAGATCCTGCAAGCCGCCCGGTGCAGCCAAAAAAAAAGAAACGATTTAAGGCATGTATAGATAGTAACACAAAATAAATTTCCCCCGAGTTCTGGTTAAAGAGAAAAACACAGTTGATGTAAACCACAGCCAATCCTGCATGTGCTTAAATGTGTCACCACCCCTCCCTCTCCTCCTCCCCTAACTTCGCCTCCTGTCCTCCATTCCTCTCTCTCCCCAGTCTGCTTGCCCTCAACCTCCCTCTCTCCCCAGTGGCAGGTCCCAGGCTCTGGTGCACCCCTCCCCAGCCCCCAACATTGAGGAAATCACTTCACCTCTCTGAGCATCAGTTTCCTCGTGTGTGGTGATTATGAGACCCACCTCAGAGCTGTCATATGAGGAGTAAATGAGGTCACCCACACAGCAAGGACTCTGAGCACTGTGTGGGCATGTGCATGTACAGAGCAGGGCCCTCTGGCTGCATGCAGCGGTCCGCAAACACTCGGGCCAGCTCTGGTCGGCCTCCCAGTCTTGTTCCATCTCACCCTCCCCTCTCAGGCAAACCAGGCTCCTTCTCCACCTCCTCAGTCTGCATCCTCTGCCCTCCAAGGGTGCATGTCCTCCCCGTCCAGCTGTGAGATCCGCCAGGCCAAGGGGGTTCCTCCCCAGAGGAAAAGCCAGGCCAGGCTGCTGTATTTTTTTCTCTACTACAACTTGAGGCCCTGTAATTTCTCCCACCTGTAATAATAATAATAATAATAATAATAATGAATACATTCATACTGGCTAACTCAATGAGCACTTAGTATGTGCCAGGCATTATCCCAAGCCCTATCAGTGTACTAACTCATTTAATGCTCATGACCATCCTATGAGGTAGGTTCTGTTCTAAGCCCAATTTACAGAAACTGAGGCCAGCAAGCAGGGAAATAGCTTGCCCAAGGCCACCCAGATGATAAGCCCCATGCACTTAACCGCAATGCTCTACACGTTTCCTGGCAGTTTCCCTGCTTCGTGATGGTGGGGACCAGATCTGTCTTATTCACCCAGCTCAGTGCCTGGCACAATGGAGAAGCTCTGTAAATCTTTGTTGAATGAACAGATGAATGAATGGGTGAATAAATGCTGCTCATTGGGCTATCTTAACCAGTTTTATGTGTATAGTTCACTGAAAGTGCAGGCTTCAAGGATCCCAGCTAAACTCGAGAGTACTGGTTCCCACTTCCTACCTCATGCAAGGGCAGGGACCAAGGCCAAGACCTTGGTCCCTGCCCTTGCATGGTCATTGCAATGCAAGTGCTTGGCCACTGGGCCTATTTCCCTTCCAATACACCCACCTCAGAGCTCCTGCTATATCAACTCACTCACCACTCTGCTTTTCTGCTCTCTCTTGATGTCAAAAACAGACACATTCTATTTTCTACATATTCAGAGCAGGAAGGGTCCCAGCATCCCACTTCCAAATGAGCACCTCAAGCACATGCAAGCCACAATTGTATCCATAGTGAAAAGCCTATTCCAAGGCTGGGTGGTTGTTGTCTACTGTTACTGAGAGCCTACTATGTGCCAGTTACTGTACTGGGTGCTTTTTATACATTTGATCTCATTTAATCCTCCTTCCAGTTCCGTTAGGTAGGTACTATTACTGTCACTGGTTCAGTTGAGAAAACTGCCAAAAACACAGCTAGAAAAGGAACAGAACCAGGATTCAGACTTAGGTTGGCCCAACCTTTGCCAAATACATCTTGTCTTCCTCCATCCTGCCACATGCCGCCTGTTGCTTCCTCACCTCTGGGGGTAGGATCCATGTGACTCCCTTCTTGTTAGCTGTCCTCAGCACCCAGTGGGTGTGACCTGGGGTGCAAGCAGTCGTTGCAGAGGTTACTGTGATTTTGCCCCTGGAGACCTGTCCACAACTCAGGAGGGACTGCGGAACTCACGCAGCTCTTGGCCTGAGCCCCTGTTAACAAGCGAAAGGAGGCTTTAGCCAAGGACTCTGAGGGGAGATAAATGCTGGGAGTGGACTCAACTCTGGTCGGGACCCAAGCACCCAGCCCTCCCCGAGACATTGTTTGAACTGGGCCAGGCCACCAGACACAGCCCCTCCCGCCCGCCCCAGCCAGGGTGGTGCTTGTGTGGGAAGGACTTTAACTCCAGCTGCCAGACCCCTGAACGGGAGAGGCAGAGAGGACTGGCCAACATGCACAACTTCCGCAGCCTCCTGGCCCGTCTGCTGCTGCCGCTGCTACTGCTGGGGGCTGCCATGGGCCCTGCCGGAGCCCTCAGTGATGATGAAAGACACGTGATGGTGGAGCTGCACAATCTCTACCGATCCCAGGTGTCCCCACCGGCCGCCAACATGCTGCAAATGGTAAGTGTGGCCAGGGCCCCCACCAACCCCTTTCACGGCGTGAGTGGAAGCTATCTCGGGGATTCATCTCTCCGGCAGGAACAGAGTCCCTGACATTGTAGAATTCACAGGCCCCCATAAGCAGCCTCATTATACAGATGAGGAAACTGAGGCTCAGAGGGACTTGCTGGTCCCTCAGGGGCTTGTATGTCCCATAGCTGGTAGAGCCAGGCCTGAAAGCCCTGCTCTCTGATCCAATGACCCCTTCCCAGCACTTCCTAAAATGCATGTGCCCCTGGGAGGGGGAACACAGGAAGTTCCTAACACCTTGATGAAACGATCTTTCAGATACCTTCCAAGGAGATGAGAAGAAAAAATAGGGCAGCAGGATGAGTCCCAGCACCCAGGGTAGGAGGGATGTACTAAGGAGGTGGGGTGAGAACAGGAACCAGAAGTAGACAGGGCTCTGAATCACACAGATCAAAATCTGTCTCGACCACTCACAAGGCCTGTGATTTGGGGTGAGTCCCTTAACCTAGTAAGGACCCTCAGTTTCCCATCTGTAAAATGATGTCATAATTAGAGCTACATAAATATCAACATGGACAGAATCTCACAGGTATAATATTGAATGGGGGAAAATGAAATCTAAAAGAAGTACACATACATATATTTTTAGTATAGTAGGGTATATTTACATGAAAGAGATAAAGTGAGAAATTCACCCCCTTCCTGCCCTCCCTGAGGCTAGCTACACTGGCCCTTATTCTCCAGTCACCCTTAGGTGAGGGGCAGTGTCCAGGGACCCCCTAGCTGTTGCCTGAGAGCAAGGTTGCACCAGGCATCCAAGACCAGAGTTCTAACAGCTCTGTCCAATCAGCTGAAGTGACTCTGGGTGGACCCTTTACCTTCAAAGGCGTCTGTTTCCTGATCACATGGTACGGGCAGTCCCTGCCCTGAGGGTCAGACAGGATGACCTATGAAAAAGATATAGGAAGGGCTCCACGGATGCACACAGCACCGCCCTTCACAGCCCTGTCGGCCTTGGCAAACAGGAATTGCAGACAACAAACTAGGAGCTCCCGATTCTGTTACCAGCTCTGCCAAAAGTTCCCCAGTTGAGGCCTGGAACACATTGTTGGGCCTCAGTTTCCCCATCTGTAGGTCCCTGATGCCCTAGAGTCTTGCTGGCTGAGGCTGGGGGCTACACAGGCTGCAAGCTGCTTTGTAGACAGAGATGGACCTCAGGAGTGGGGCAACATTCTAGGAAGCAGTTCAGATATTGATGGGATATGCTGCTGCCTGGTAGGAAGTGATCTGAGGAGCGGGAGATAAGGCTGGACTGGGACACTAGGATAAATTTGGGACAAGGCGTAGGCTCAGCTTCAGCAGTGGTAAATACAGAGACTCTGGAGTCAGATGGCCTGGGTTCAAATCTTGACTTTGCCATTTACTAGCTATGTGACCTCAGCCAAGTTACTTAACCTCTCTGTGCCCCAACTGTAAATCAGGGATGATAACACTATAATAACTCCCTTGTAGAGTGGTTGAAAGGATGAAATGAGTGACTATGTGTAAAGCATTTAGAACAGGGCCTGGCACACAGTAAGTGCGCAATAAGTGTTTGATAACAAAAGAGGGAATGGATCCAGGGTGAAGCAGGTGGGGGTTATCACAGATTCTTCTCTCTCCCTCAGCCTCCAAGTCTAATCGTCACCACTTTTACCTCCCAGAAGGTTCCATTTTTCTTGAATCCTGTCTCCCCCCCACCCCTCCGCCACCTCTTTGACACAACCCTGGTTCAGTCTTTCATTTCTTTTCCCACGGAATTCTAGAACAGCCTCTACCTGCTTTCTCAGCCTCTGGCTTCTACTACCAGGATGAATGATCCAACACACTGGCCTGACCCTTTTCAAAACCCTTCCATGGCTCGCATTGGCTCCCTGCTGCCTTCAGATAAAGCCCCAGCTCCTGAGAAGCCCCACTCTATGTGTCTGGCCTTGTTTACCTCTCCAGCCTCCTCTCCTTCACACTTTCTCCTAGAGGAACCCGAGCAGCTTATCTTTCCCCCACCAAAACCTTTCCCATCTCCATGCCTTTATTCATGTTTGCCCTCTGTTCAGGATGCCTTTCCCCTCTCCACCTGGCCAATGCCTCATCTTTTAACACTTAGCTTAATGTCTCCTTCTCCATCCTCAGGTTGCACTAAATGGCCCTCTTTTGGTGCCCCTATACTACCCATCGCATATCTGTCAGTTACCACATGGTGGCCCAGTTAACAGTTTATGACACTGGGAACTTGGGCTTCTTAGTCCTTGCTGTCACCCCAGGGCTGGCATAGTGCTCAGGACTGTTGAATGAATGAGTGAGTGGATGAATGAATGGACTTGCTTTCAGATGGTGACCAAGTGGCCAGGGAGGGTGGGTACCTTGACTCTTGAACCTCCACAGGGTTCTCTGGACAACTGAGAAGCCTTAAGACTCACAGGAATGACTCTCTAATGGTGGGACTCCAGACATCCAGTCAGGATGGAAATTACAGCCGAGCTCTGTAAGGAGAGACCGCTTTAAGCAGGGCTGTGTCTCAGTCATCAACAGCTGAGAAATGTCTGTTGAGCACCTGCTCTGGGCCAGCACTGTGCCAGACATGCTGAAGGAGCTTACAGTCTAGTCTGGAGCCCCGAAGGTCATCCCAGACACCCTGAGCCTGGTCCCCAGCACCCTGCCCCTTTCCCGCTCCCTATCCTCCACTACTACCAGTTTGAGAGAGCCTCAGGGACCAGTGACTTGGGACAAAAATGCCCACAGAGGGAAAGGGATTCACCTGAGTTTACAGCATTTTACTATCCCAGCCCAATGCTCCCTTCCGTACCCCAGGCAGCTGCTCCTGAGAACCCTGGGAGGGGTGGGTGGGTGTGGCCACACAGCCCCCTCCCCTCAGGGTCACCCAAGCTCTTGGTACTTTATGGGCTGTCTGGCTCCCACAGCTGGCAGGCCCCCAGAGGGTGGAGCAAGAGTTGCTGCCAGGCCATCCATTTCTAGGAGAGGCCAAGGACAGTTTAATGGGATCCAGGCCTCCTTCCTCAATCCCTTGGTCAGATGCCTTGTTAATCTGTCTTCCCACCCACACTGGGCCCATCCTTCCAGCCTGGGACACAGAACCTCAGAGGCCCTCTAACCTGAAATGCCCCCTCCCACCATCTCACCTGAGGTCCTCCCTGGAGAACACTGCCTTTGGGACCTGACAGCTCTTTGGGCCACCAAGCCTCTGAAAATAGGCCTCTCAGCGAGGGTCACACACACACACTTAATTTTCTTGGGGAAAGGGGTTGTCCAGTTGACAAGACAGCAACTGGGAGGGAAGCCCAGAGCTGGTAAAGCTGGGCTATCCCAAGGGGAGAGTGGGAGGTTAAAGGGGATGCTGGCCCCTCAAGTAAGATTTCTGGTGGGTGGGTAAAGGGAGTGGAGTGGCTGAATAAACAACCCAGCCCCGGAACATCTCACTGGACATCGTGTGTGCTTCACAACAGTTCAGGCAGCCCTGGCAGGGGCATCACCACCCATCTTGCAAATAGAATGACATTAGTATTAATTAATAATTCCATTATCGAAAACATCATCTCATTTTTTCTTCCCAAAGTCCTATGAGAGTTCAGAAAGTTAGGCAATCTGTCTAAAACCACACAGCTGGTGAATGGTCCCAAGTTTGCCTAACTCCATGGCCTGGGATGGCACCCTCCCACCTCCCCACAGAAGCTCCCCATCAGCACAGCTGTGTTCCAGATCATGTCCACGAGTCACCCTGCAAGGAGGGGAGGGTCTTCGGCCTCCAGAGGCCCCCCAGAACACCTTCCACCTTCTTTTCTGATCCTCACCCAATTTGGACATCCTTACCTCCCTCTCCCACCCTCCTTTCCCGCCTCCACTGAGCCCGAGGCGTCCTCACCTCCCCCTCGCAACCTGACCCGCAGAGGTGGGACGAGGAGCTGGCCGCCTTCGCCAAGGCCTATGCGCAGCAGTGCGTGTGGGGCCACAACAAGGAGCGCGGGCGTCGCGGCGAGAACCTGTTCGCCATCACGGACGAGGGCCTGGACGTGCCGCTGGCCATGGAGGAGTGGCACCACGAGCGCGAGCACTACAACCTCAGCGCCGCCACCTGCGCCACAGGCCAGATGTGCGGCCACTACACGCAGGTGCGAAGCTGGACGGGGCGGGGCCACAGGGCAATGGGCGGGGCCGGGAAGGGCCGGGCGGGGCCACCTCTCCAGTCAGAGCCCGGGAGTCCGTAAGCCCCGTTTGCCTCCTTCATAAAAGTCATCTCTCCACAGGAATTCATGTGTTGTCCAGGCCCCCAACGAAGTCTGCTTCTCAGACTGTCTAAACCATTTTCAGTTGTCTCTTTAAAAACCACAATCTTCTGAAAACCTAGGCGGCCCCTCTCGGCCTCCTGGTCCTGAAGAGACCTGAATTAGGTGTCCCAGAGCCTTTTTCCTGGAGGGTAGTTACTGTGCCAGGCGATCCTGATCGAGCTCTAAGCAGTCTTGTCCTCTGGCCAAGGTTACACACGGCTGTTTGCCCCAGCAGTGAAGGGCTTCCCCCTGCCTTCGGTCTTCTCTCTCTCACTGTCCCTCTTGTCATTTCTCAGTGTCTAAGTTGCTGCTTCCAATCTGCCAGGGACTGATAAAGCAAATACACAATTTTTCTTCTGCCTTGAAAAACTACATGCGAAATAAGAGTAAGCTGTCACCAAGTGAACGTTTCAGAGAGCCTTCCGAGAGCATTTCCTGCCTCTTGCTATGTCAGGGTTTTACTGCATTTTGAAAGTTTGAGTTTGCAGACAAGGGGCATAGGGGTGTGTGTAGGGGAGTTAACATTAGTGTTATTGAATTCTTTTTTTTTCCTTCCCAATGCTTATTTGTTGTTCAAACAATAACATGACAAATTTTAAAAAAAGAAAAAGGAAATGAACCAACCATCTTCCCACCCATATCCACCAATTCCATTTTCCAGTGTTTCTTTGGGTGGTATTTTTAGTGCTGATCTTTAGAGAAGGAAATCCTAACATCACCCACCCAGATCAGGAAGTTGTGAGGCCCCAGCCCTCCCTGCCCCCTTCTCTCTCTTCCCTGCCACCTCTCACACTCCCCGTACATACATCCTCCTGCAGGAATTGCTGTCAGTGCCCAGCAGGAGTCGGGCTGCCCCATCTCCACCCCTGTGTTCTCTAAGGCTGAGTGCATGTGCATTCTGGGGTCATTTCTGCCTGGGAGATGCTCGACAGTGGTCCCTCGGGAACTCTCAGCTGATTCAAGCAGCAAGACCCCAATCCTGGGGAGTTGTGCAGAATTAACAGCAAGAGCCAGATCTCACAACAAAAAACGGGCCTCAGTTTGAGTGACTCCTGGGCAGACTGGGCCTAGAAATAGCAAAGGGAAGCTATATTGGCTTGTCTCAGCCAATGGCAGGGCACAAAGTTTGTTTTGACTTTTTAAAGTTTATACTTAAGACAGAACGCCTTCTACCAGTTAGGAGACCCACACTTAGAAATGGCAGGGCAGGTCCCTGCTTACTTGTGATTTGGGGGGAAGTTTTACTTCCAAAATGGCTCCTCCTGTTCCCTTCCTTGGCCTTTGCTTGTTGCTGATGTTTAAGATTCTCCCATTTGAGATTCACTCCTTTGTTATATCCCTTGTTTAAAATGCAAGGGCCTCTAGAAGGAGCCCACAGGAAGAATTCATGAGGGTCTATCAAAGGGGAAGGTTTTCAGAGGAAGAGAGTCCTAGTGAAATAGTGTGTGTGGTTGGTAGAGGAGAGTAGGCTGCTTGGGACAAATTTTCCCCCAAGCCCCCTGTTCAGAGTTTTGTCCTGAAGCTGTGTGTCCTCAGGGACTTGGATCTTACATATAGGGTTCCTCCTCTCCTCACTCATAGAAGGCTGCTGTAGAGAGACACTAGCTAGGAGCCATCTTGCGCAGGCTAAACTGTTGGGTTTTCCCTCCTTCAGGTGGTCTGGGCCAAGACAGAGAGGATTGGCTGTGGTGCCCACTTCTGTGAGAAGCTCCAGGGCGTTGAGGAGACCGATATCCACTTGCTGGTTTGCAACTATGAGCCCCCGTGAGTGGGGAGGGAGCCCTGGGGGAAGGGGGTGGGCAGAGCCAAGGGGAGGGGCTGAGCTGGACACAGTCTAAGGAGGAGGAAGGGGGCCAATCTGGGGTCCATACCCTATACCCTTGGAGGAGCTGCGAGGGCACCCATGGGAGTCTGCTCTTACTGGCCCAGCAAGTTAGTGTAGGGCAAGTAAGACCCAGGGAGCGCTTCCAGACTAGGTGTGTGTATGAGGGATAGGGACAGGGGTTGGCAGGGACCCCCCTCCCCCCAGCATCCTCCTCACCTCCTGCAGGGGGAACGTGAAGGGGCAGAGGCCCTACCAGGAGGGAACTCCATGCTCCCAATGTCCCTTGGGCTACCACTGTGAAAACTCCCTGTGTGGTGAGTCCGGGGTGGGGTGGGGTGGGGTGGGGTGGGGGGAGGCAGGTGAGGCAGGGGACGCCTGCTGGATGGTCTGGTGTCTTCCAAGGCTCCAGAGTGGTGCGTGGGCCAGGGGAGGAACCCTCAGCGGCCCCACCCCATCCGGGTTCCCAAGCCCGCTTTACCTGCTTTGCCCTCCTTGCGCACCACTTTGGCGCCCTGGCATTCCAAGTGAACAGCTTTCTACCCTCCAAGCAGAGGGTAGAGAAGAGTTGGGGGCTCCTGAGCACAGGGGGTGCGGGGGTGGAGGTGGGAGGCGTGGCCAGATGGGTGGTCAGAGGGACTCCAAAGGCCAGGCCTGCAATGCGATGGGTGTTTTAGGAACAGGAATCCAGCGGGAGAAATCCCCTGAAAAAGTGGAAATGCATGTGTAGAGAGGGGAAGACTTGGACAAGGAGGTGGATGGAGGGGCAACTGTCAGTCACAAGAAATAACATGTATTATCAATGAGGGACATATTCGCTGGAGAGGGTGTGTGCATGTGTGTTTGTGTGTCTTCGTAGGACATTTGATCACCTCACCTTGATTGCGGTGGGGTGAGGGATGCGGGGTCCTGCTTGCAGCACTAATGCCAGGCCTTGTCTCTCTTATCAGAACCCATCAGAGGCCCGGAAGAGGCTCAGGATTTGCCTTACCTAGTAACTGAGGCCCCATCTTCCCTGGCAACAGAAGCCTCAGGCTCTAGGAAAGAGGGTATCACTTCTTCCTTAGCAACGGAAACTCCATCCTTCTTGGTAACAGAGGTCTCAGGCTCCCTGGCAACAAACGCTCTACCTGCTGTAGAAACCAAGGCCCCATCTTCCTTAGTAACAGAAGACTCCCCTTCCATGGCAACAGAGGCTCCACCTTCCTTAGCAACTGAGGTCCCTTCCTTTTTGGCAACTCACAGCCTACTCTATTTGGATGAGAGACCGGCTACCCTCCCCAAATCAACCCATGATCCTACCCCCAAATCAGCAGATAAAGAGGCCAGCAGTACAAGAATGCCCTCCAGGAGCCCAGAGAGTTCTCTGCAGCCCAAGATGTCCTTGACGGGGACATGGGAGCCGCTACCCCACTCCCAGGAGGAGGGCGAGGCTGAGGCCGAGTCGCCTCATTCCAGTGAGATCTTGGCCTCAGTTTTTCCAGCGCAGGACAAGCCAGGTGAGCTGCAGGCCACACTGGAGCACAAGGGACACACCTCCTCCAAGTCCCTGTCCAACTCCCCCAGTGCCTCTGCCACCGCTAATGCCATGGGTGGGCGTACCCTGGCCCTGCAGTCCTCCTTGCCAGGTAAGGCCTGTAGCTCCCATCCTACCTTCCCTCCTGGCTCCAGAATGTCAGCACCCTGCCTCTAGTATAGATGATATAGGCACGGCGGGGCATGCACCCTCCGAGTAGGAGCTTCCTCCCTGGCTGCTGGGCCCCACGTGCATGCCTTGGTAGGGTGGGTGGGAGGTCAGGCAGAGCTGTCTCCAGGCTGAGGCAAAGCCTCTCCCTTCCTGCAGGTGCAGAGGGCCCTGAAAAGCATGGCATCAAGTCAGGGTTGAACTCGAGCCCTGGGCACGGCTGGGGCCTCCTCCTGGGACTGCTGCTACTGCCTCCCCTGGTGCTGGCTGGAATCTTCTGAAGGGGTCACCACTCAAAGGCAAGGCCTCATGGGGGGGACCCTAGCCTCATGCCCACTCTGGATTCTTTCTCCAATAAGAGACCACAGCTTCCTGGAAGGTCCTCTCTGTGGCCCAGCAGCCCCCTTCACCCCAGCCAGACTCCAGGCCAGAGGCCTTGTGCCCTCAGGAGGCCTCGACAGGGACGATGCCTCTGCCTTTGGGGAGGTCCACCCCTCAGCCAGCTGCAGGTTGTTCTGAGCAGTGTTCCTGTGGCCTACGCCCACTCTCCAGCTGTCCTGTGGCCACAGTCCTGCTCTTCCAGGGACAGAAGATCGCAGGGCTTCCCAGGAACCCCTCAGCCCCTTCCAGTCCCCTGGCCTCTTCCTTGAGCCATTGGAGTCTAAGGCTGTTCCCAGGAGTGCTTCCTGCCTTCCCAGGGTGAAGAGGTCAGCTGTCCTCCTGCCACCTCCCCCACCCTGTCCCCAGCCCGCCAAACAAGACGTTTCTTGGCTGAAGTCCCTCTGGAAGGGAAAGGCTGCAGGGCATGTGCCTCATCCACAGACATCTTTGGGGGCATGGGGCCTGGCCACTGCGAGCTCAGGTTGCTGCCCGCTGACTGCATGTGTCTGGACCCCTTCTGTTCCTCCCATCTCAGTCTGGGGGCGGCAGTGAGTGAGGACTCTGGGGAGGTCCCTGCCTGCCTGGCCTTGGGTTGTCTGCCTGGGCAAGGTAAAGGTTCTCCCTGAGTATCCGGTCCCCTAACTTTCCTGTTTAGAAGGCAGCGGGTGTCCTAAGGGGCAGATGAAGGACAAACCCCATCTGAGAGGGGTTCTATGGGTGGGGCAGGCAGGGACCAGGGAAGGGAGGCAGCCCCTGACTCCTGAATAAAAGCCTGTGTAAGAGGACCAGTCGCCGTGCTTGTGAGCAACAAACGGGGCAAGGGAGGGCTCTTGGGCGGGGGGCCCTGAGAGGCTCACCTCTTCCCCTACTGACTCATGGCAACTGTTCCTTCTTCACACGCCCTCTCCCCCAAACACTCCATTTAGTTCTTTGAGGCACTTTTCCTTTCCTTCCTAACCCCCGACCCCAAATCTTCAGGTAGCCGGTGGAAAGGGGCTAGGGCCAAGGGTTGGCGAAGGGTGCTGGGCTGACTCTCCCAGCTCTGGGAGTGACTAGTGGAGCCTAGCTGGGTTCGTGACCCAGGATCAAGGAGTGGCACACGACCTCTTCACAGGGGTCCTGCTGCCCACGCCCACCCAGGACACAAGGTCTGAAATGTACCTCAGCATGATTTTGCCAACCCTTGGTGCTTAGAGGAGTCCTGAGAAAGGGCTCTGGAGTCCCAGACACCCTCCAGGGAAGCACAGGATTGTCCCGAAGTGCTGTGGGGCAGGAAAGCACACGTGTGTGAGTAGGGCTAGCAATGGTAGGTGATGAGGGCAGCCTGGGACCCAGCTGGGGCTGGTGGGGAGGGGCAGCTAAACAGGAAGCATACAAATCAGTCCAGGGCTGAAGGCTGTGTGTGTGTGTATGAGATGATAGAATGTATCTCCATTAAGGTATAACTCATATAACATAAGATTCACTCATTTAAAGTGTACCACTCAGTGGTTTTTAGTATATTCACAGGGTTGTGCAACCATCACCACAATTTGGGAACATTTTTATCACCCCAAACAGAAACCCCACACCCCTCAGCAGTCACTTCCCATTTTCCCTTCACGCCCCCCAGCCCCTGCCCTAAGCAATCACTAATCTATTGTCTCTATGGGTTTGTCTATTCTTTTTTTTTTTTTTTTTGCCGTACGTGGGCCTCTCACTGTCGTGGCCTCTCCCGTTGCGGAGCACAGGCTCCGGATGCGCAGGCTCAGTGGCCATGGCTCACGGGCCCAGCCGCTCCACGACATGTGGGATCTTCCCGGACCAGGGCACGAACCCCTGTCCCCTGCACTGGCAGGCAGACTCTCAACCACTGCGCCACCAGGGAAGCCCTATTCTGACATTTTATATAAATAGAATCATACAATATGTGGCCTTTTGTGTCTGGCTTCTTTCACTTAGCATATTTTCAGGTTCATCCATGTTGTAACATGAGATAGTACTTTATTCCTTTTTACTACCAAGTAATATTCCTTTGTATGGAATATATTTTATTTATCCATTCGTCAATTGTTGGGCACTTGGCTTGTTTCCACATTTTGGCTATTATAAATAATGCTGCTACAAACATTCATGTAAAAGTTTCTGTATGGCAATATGTCTTCATTTCTCTTGGGTACATACTAGGAGTGGTATCATATGGCTACTCTGATCATATAGTAACTCTATGTTTAACTTTTTCAGGAACTGCCAGACTACTTTCCAAAGTGGCTGCACTATTTTACATTCCCACCAGCAATGTACAAGGGTTTCAATTTCTCCACACTACCAACACTTGTTACTGTCTTTTTCAATTATAGTCATTCTAATGAGTGTGAAGTAGTATCTTGCTGTGGTTTTGACGTTCATTTCCCTGATGGCTAATGATGTTGAGCATCTCTCCACGTGCTTAGTGGCCATCTGTATATCTTCTTTGGAGAAATATCTACTCAAGTCTTTTGCCCATTTTTTAATTGGGGCATTTGTCTTTTTATTATTGAGTTGTAGGAATTCTTTACATATTCTAGATACAAGTCCCTTATCAGATATATGATTTGCAAACATTTTCTCTCATTCTGTGGGTTGTCTTTTCAATTTTTCTTGATATCCTTCAAACACAAAAGCAGTTAATTTTGAGGACTTCCGACTTATTTCTTTTGCTGCTTGTGCTTTTGGTGTTACATCTAAGAAACCATTGCCTAATCCAAGGTCACGAAGATTTATACCTGTGTTTTAAAATTTTTACGTTAATTGTGTGAATTAAAGTGTGAATGTTTCTTTCTGGACTCCCAATCATATTCCATTGATTTATGTATCTATCTTTGTGCTAATGCCACACCATCTTGATTACTGTAGCACTGTAGTTAAGTTTTGAAATTGGGAAGTGCAAGTCCTCCAACTTTGTTTTTTTTTCAAGACTGTGAATTTCCAGTCTTTTTTCAAGACCCTTGAATTTCCATACAAATTTTAGGATCAGCTTGTCAAATTTCTGCAAAGAAGTCAGCTGAGATTTTGATAGGGATTATGTAATCCACCATTTTAGCAATGTTAAGGCTTCCGATCCATGAACATGGGATGTCTTTCCACTTATTTAGGTCTTCTTTACTTTCTTTCAACAATGTGTTATAATTTTCAAAATATAAGTTTTGTAATTCTTTTATTAAATTTGTATTTTATTAATTTTTATGCTATATAAATGAAATTGTTTCACTAATTTCATTTTCACTTTGCAAGTGTATAGAAATACAATTGATTTTTGTACATCAATTTTATATCCTGCAACCTTGGTGAATTCATTTATTAGTTATAACAGTATTTTTAGTGGATTCTTTAGGATTTTCAATATAAGATCATGTTATCTGCAGAGACAGTTTTGCTTCTGCCTTTCTAACACAGATAATATTTCATTTTCTTTCCCAGTTGCCTGGGCTAGACCCTCCAGTACAATGTTGACTAACGGCAAGAGCAGAGCCTTGTCTTGTTCCTGATCTCAGGGGGAAAAACATTAGGTGTTTCACCATTTGGTATAATATTAATTACGAGTTTTTCATAGATGCCATTTACTAGGTTGAGGAAGCTCCCTTCTCTTTTTAGGTTTTTGAATGTTTTCATCATGAAGGGATGTTGAATTTTGTTAAACACTTCTCCTGTGTCTATTGAGATGATTGTGTGGTTTTGTTCCTTCAGTGGACAGAAATGTATTACATTAATTGATTTTCAGATGCTGACCCTGCTTGCCTTCCTGAGGGGGGAAGGGCGTCCCTCCCTTTGTGGGCCTGTCTTTGCAAGCTAGTCCCAAGTTCTATGAGGTGGTCAGGTGAGGTAGCCTCTGGGCAGAGCCAGACTGTGGAGGCCCAAACCCATCTTTCTCAGTTTTGGGGTGGGATGTACCAGCCTCCTGCAAAGCAAGAACACCTGTTTCCAGCACTCAGGTTCCAGCCCAACCTGTCATATGAGAAAACCTACTAAGACCAGCAGCAGGAATCTCTTTGGAAATTTTTTGGGGTAAATAACACAAGCCAAGACATGGTATCCCATAGTAGTCAGGGAGGGGAGGAGAATGGGAGGGCATGTTCAAAAGGAGGGCAGGGGGCTGGCACTCTGAGGCCTCAAGGACCAGAGTAGGGCAGGTCTGCTCCCGCACTCTGCTGTGTGACTCCCAGGCATCTGGGCACTGGCGTAGCAACAAGGGCTACAGTAGGGCCCTGCAAAGACCACCACTGCCACCTCGGGCTTCATCACAGGGGGTCCCAAAAGGCCTGTCAGAGGACATTCCAGCTTTGTCCATTGCAATTAGGTTTTCCAGGAAGGGAGGGAGGTAACTGGGTCCCCACAGGGACATTCCCACTCCTGTCACCCCTCCTTTTGCTGGCAGCTCAGCTCCCCGCACCTACCCCCCAAACCCTCCACCCCCCACACCCCTCCCCCGCCAATTCAACCCAATCTCCTTTCTCAGTTAAGGACCCTGTCACTCTAGTTTCCAGGACTGAGAGGAAACATGCCAGGTGCTAGGGGGGGTTGGGGGAGGGGAGCAGGTGAGGCTTCAGCCCTCAAAGAATGAAAGGTTCAGGAGACAAAGGGAGCACTTACCATACACAACACACGCACCTTAATACTGAACTGAAAATGGTTAGGAATAAAAACCTGTACTTAGCTCAACTAAAAACCGAGACAGAGCATCAAAGGTGATTTTCTTGCTGTTTCTGGGTGGAAGATAACCTGGGAAATGTAGTCAAGACCCTGAAATTCAGAAATCCCAGGGTATTACCTGGGAACAGCACTGCCTCCCCTCAAAGTGACTCGAAAGGCCCACCCAGGCTGGCTCTTTACCTTGGTGGCTTCTCCAGACACCTAGGAGGAGGTGGCTGTCAGAGGGAGGGGCTCTTCAGGACCAGCTCAGCTCAGACCCCTGAATCTGGGGGACCACAGGAAGGAATTGCTGCAAAAACAGGACTTGAGGGTGGAGCAATGGGAAGAAAAGTTACCCCAGGGCAGTGGTCAGTGCCATGGGAAACCACACTGGGCTAGAGAAAGGTCATGTGCCGTGCGGGAGACACACCTCTAAAGGGCCTTCCTCCTCTACAGAACTGGTGCCAGCGAGGCCTGGCCTGCTCACCTTGCCATGTGCTTTCCCTCCCTGCCACTTCAGCTGTCTGAAGTGAGTGTGAGATCTTAGTAACCCCCACCAATGTACATTTACAGGATACCTGCACAGGCATGCTCCTGTGTTCCTGGGGAACAAGGATACGTAAGGTAAACTGGGGTAACTGTTACTAGGCCAATGGGGAAAACCAGTTCTGCAAAAGCATCCCAGGGCCTTCCCTGGGCATGACCCAGCCCATACCTGTGAGGAAGTATGACCAAAGTCCCAAAGTCCAGCTCTCCGAAGCCATCTCCCCTACAGCAAGGGCAGAGAAACATTTGGGGAACCAAGCTGGCCCTCAACTGGTATTAAAACCCCATCAGCTGGAAGCCCACGGTCTCTAGGGGCCAGCAGGTTCCATTTGTAAGTTCTGCCTGTTTATAGGCAAAAGCAAATGTTGGGCAGAAGCAAATGAAGGGAGCTTTGCCTTTTCCAGAGAAGGCCAAGCTCAGTGCTTCAGCTGGGCCTGTGTCCACTCCTTCTGCTGTAACCACAGGACTGCTACACCAACTGACTTGGTAAAACCCCACAATGTCATCTGCAAACAGTCTGAGAGGACAGCTGGGGGTTTGGGTGGAACATTTTCTGAAGCTGGGAGGACCTTTAGAGCTCCTGTCTCCCTGGGAAGAGGTCTAGGCACTAGCTGTTGCTCTGTGAACTGGAGTCTCGGCTTGTCTAATTCAGAAAACCACCCAATGACCTGAGCCTTCGCCCTGCCCCCCCCAACACCCCCCCGGCCTGCCTTCTGGCTGATCTACACCAAGCCCGGGCACTTCTCATGCCCAGGCCAGGCTGCCCCCAGTCCTGTCACTTTACACACAACCCTTCTCACACAACCACAAAGGACTAAGAAAGACCCTGCAGACAGTTAAGCTCATAAAAATAAGAGACTCCCCACAAAGCTCCAAACCACCACCAATGAATTTATTTGAGGGAGAAAGGGTCAAATCTTATTAGGAACTTTAAACTGGATAGGAAAAGACACTGATCTGCCTAACATCTGGGTGTTCACAAGTGCACAGGTAACCATATCCTGCACGTAAGGCATCACCATTAAACCAATGAACATCTGACGAGAAGGACACGTTTTGAGCAGTCACATGATTTCCCTTTCAGAAGGTGCTGTCTCATCAGAAAAGTAGTGTTGAGAAAAACGAAGACAGTCTCCTAGCAAAGGCCTGGGCATGACAGCGGCCTCGTGAAAGGGATCACACCTTATTTACAAAGCAAGAGAGTGACACTCACAGCTGAGCTGCAGGATGAGAGCTGGGGCTGACTCGAGGGGTGTGAATGGGGGTTGGGACCTGACTTCATGAGCCTTTGCCCATCCAACGTGGGCCTCCACAAGCCATTCTTTGGCCCCCTGCACAAGACAGACTCAGGAAATCTGCAAAGTAAGGGGATTCAGCCCCAATTTCCCAGCCCCACCCCACCTCCCCCAGGTCTAACAGTGACCAATCCACTGGACGCAGCCTCACCCCCAC